ATCAGCCCTTCCAATGAATATTCAGGACTGATTTCCTTTAGGAAGGACTGGTTGGATTTCCTTGCAGTCCAAGGGCTCTCAAGAGTCTTCTCCAGCACCACACAGATCAGCCATGATTATTCCTATATCCCTCCCCCACACCATCCCTCCAGGTCATCACCTGAGACTGGGCTCCCTGCGCTACACAGCAACTTCCCACCATCTCACTCCTGATTGTGTAAATATGTTGATGCTACTGTTCCATTCATCTCACTCTCTCCCGCCGCCACTGTGTAAGTCCATTCCCTACATCTGTGTCTCCATTCCTTTCCTGCAAAGGTTCATCAGTATCATTTTTTTTTAAGATTACATATATATGTATTACTTACTAAAGAAGGTTTTACAAAATCGTGGAACACTGCTGTCCCAGAAGTTCGATCACTGGTTTTCAATCTTCTCTACCAGACGTAAAGCAAGTCATTTAGCTATTATTTTTTCCTTTTATTCTTTTAAAGAACAAAATTAAAATGAGTATGAAACTTATTTAAAAGCACATGGCCAGCTACACCATCCCACCAAAAGTATTGCTATGTGAAATTTTTAAAAAAAACTGTGTTTTATTGCACAGGCTTGAATGCAATTCTAAAGGAGAAAATACACATTCATGCTTCACAGTGTTTGGTGGTGGTAGATGTACCTCTTTAGTGACTTTTCAGCTGGTGCAGAAGCTCTTTTGTGGTAGGAAATGTTGTTCAGAAGTGCAAGTTTTAATATTTTAATGTGTGTGTTATGATTGAGCACTTTGATGTTTAAAGAGTGCTTTCCTCTGCTATGTATGTATTCAGCACAGCTTCATCTGATGTATGAACTTCTGTGAATATAATCAGCTGTGACTACAGACACATCTCATTAGTACTTTGCAAGTATTTCATATAATAATGGTGTCAAAGGGAGAGTACTAAAAGAGGTCTTATTTTAAAGAAAAGAATTGCATGCTTCTGTAGGTGTGGATTTCATAATTAAAAGCATTTTTTTGCACAAATATCTACTATTTTTAAAAATGTTTTATTTTGTCATCCAGTTTGTTGCTACTTCTATATGATTTTAACATTAAAAAGCATTGTTGAACATGCAGACTTTGCAGATTTTATTTGGAATTTGGCTTACAAAGAATATGACCATGTCATCATTATTTGAAATAATGGTAAAATCAGAGTAGGGAAAACCATTCCACAGCTTATGATTCACTTCAGTTCAGTTCAGTCGCTCAGTCATGTCTGACTCTTTGAGACCCCATGGACTGCAGCACGCCAGGCCTCCCTGTCCATCACCAACTCCCAGAGTTTACCCAAACTTGTGTCCATCGAGTCTGTGATGCCATCCAACCATCTCATCTTCTGTTGTCCCCTTCTCCTCCTGTCTTCAATCTTTCCCAGAATCAGGGTCTTCTCCAATGAGTCAGTTCTTCGCATCAGGTGGCCAAAGTATTGGAGTTTCAGCTTCAGCATCAGTCCTTCCAATGAACACCCAGGACTGATCTCCTTTAGGATGGACTGGTTGGATCTCCTTGCAGTCCAAGGGACTCTCAAGTCTTCTCCAACACCACAGTTCAAAAGCATCAATTCTTCAGCGCTCAGCTTTCTTTATGGTCCAATTCTGACATCCATACCTGACCACTGGAAAAACCATAGCTTTGACTAGACAGAGCTTTGTCAGCAAAGTAGTGTCTCTGCTTTTTAATATGCTGTCTAGGTTGGTCATAACTTTTCTTCCAAGGAGCAAGTGTCTTTTAATTTCATCACTAACTTTCCTTCTTTCCATAGCACATCCCTCTTACACCTCACTGATGACTGATGGAAAGTATCTGCAATGTCAGTTGTTACTTCTCATCTTTCATTTCTAATTTTATTGACTTGAGTCTTCTCTTTGCTTTTCTCGGTGAGTCTGACTGAACGTTCATCAACTTCATATTCTCAAAGAGCCGGGTTTTAGTTTCACTGACATTTGCTATTATTTTCTTTATATTTTTCATTTATTTATGCTCTGATCTTTATGTTTTGGTTCCTTCTATTAACTTTGGGTTTTGTTTATTCTTTCTCTAGTTGCTTTAGGTGTAATGTAAGGTTGTTGATTTGTGATTTTTCCTGTTTCCTGGGGTAAGATTGCACTGTCATAAGCTTCCTTCTTAGAACTGCTTTTACTGAGCACCATAGGTTTTGGTGCTCATGTTTTTGTTGTCATTTGTCTCAGGTATTTTTTTATTTCCTCTTTGTTTTCTTCAGTGATATTGGTTGTTTAGTCACATATAGTTTAGCTTCCATATGTTTGTGTTTTTTACAGCTTTATCTTGTAAGGGATTTCTCATATTGTCATTGGAAACAGATGCTTGTTATTATTTCAATTTTTAAAAGTTTACCAAGTCTTGGTTTGTGATCCATGATATGATCTATTGTGGAAAATGTTCCATGTTTACTTGAGATGAATGTGTATTCTGCTTCTTTTAGATGGAATGTCCTACAAATATCAAATCTATCTGGTCTATTGTGTCATTTAAGAATAGGTTTACTGATTAATTTTCTGCCTGGGTGACCCGTCCATTGGTGTAATTTGAGTGCTAAAGTTCCCTACTATTATTGTGTTACTGCTAATTTCCCCTTTTATAGATATTAGTATTTTCCTTATATATTGAAGTGTTCCTGTGTTGGGTGCATATATATTTATAATTGTTATGTCTTCTTCATGGATTCATCCCGTGGTCATTATATAGTGTCTTTCTTTGTCTCTTTTAACATTCTTTATTTTAAAGTCTATCTTATCTGATATGAGTATTGCTTTTCCAGCTTTCTTTTGATTTTCATTTGCATGGAATATCTTCTTACATTCCCTCATTTTCAGTCTGTATGTGTCTCTAGGTCTGAAGTGGGTTTCTTTGTGTATATCTTCTTGATGAGACTTAATTTGTTGAAATTCTTCATTCAATTTTTATTAGATTGTTTGTTTTCTTACTGTCTGTGTGGACTCTTCATATACTTTGGCTACATGTTCTTTGTCAGATATGTATATAGTTTTCAAGCATTTTTCCTCAATCTTTGAATATGCATGTATTTATATATATTCAAAAGCTTGCTTCTCTGATTTATTTTTGCATACTGCTCCACTTATCTCTTGCTACATAAACTGCATTTCAAAACTAGATAACTTGAGAATGACCACTGACCACGTGTGCTCAGTCATGTCTGACTCTCTGTGACCCCATGGATGGTAGCCTGCCAGGCTCCTCTGCCCAAGTTTCCCAGGCAAGAATACTGGGGTGGGTTGCCACTTTCTACTCCAGGGGCTCTTCCCGACCCAGGGATCAAACTCACATCTTCTGTTAGGCAGTCAGATTCTTTTCTACTGAGCCACCTGGGAAACCCTTGAATATACATGCATTCATATATCTTCAAATGCTTGTTTCTCTGATTTATTTTTGCACACTGTTCTAGTTATCTCTTCCTACCTAAACTGTATTTCAAAACTAAATCACTTAAGAGAATGACCACTGACTCCTTATTTTGTTCTTTCTACTATTTACTGAGGTTGCATGAAATATTCAGTGGAAAGATTGGCTAGTTTTCAAGTTCTTTAATTATTGACACTGGATGAGAATGTCTAGAAAGATGAACCCAAATTCTCCCCTTTCAGTTCATGTAATCTCAGAATGTGCCACACTGTTTAATCAGATGGCTAGTTGTAATAGTAATTCATGGCTTTCACATATTGTCTTCTTCAAGACAAGACCCAGAGTGACTTACAATATTTCTGCTAATCTTGTTTATCAAAACAGATGAAGTATGTCAAAAATTCAAAGAAATATAAATATGCAATATAGATGAACCTTGAAAATATTTCAATGAAGACAAGAAGGCTGATGAAAAGAATAACAAAGAAAAAGAAAAGACAGACAAGCAAGCAAACAAGCAAACAAAAAAGCATGCTGCATAATTCTGTTTAAAAGGAGGCCAAGAATTGGAAAGCAAAGAATCAGAAAGTAAATTAGTAGTTGCCAGGGCTCAGGGAGGAAGGAAGGGAAAGTGACAGCTAATAAATATGGATTTCTTATTGTAATGATGAAAATGTTGTGGCAGTAATTACTGGTGATAATCTAAGAACCTTAAAAATATAGTATAAACAAAGAACTGTATACATTAGAAGGGTAAATTCTGTGATGTACACATTGCATTTCAGTAAAAAAGAAAACATGAACCAAGTGTGGTAATATCCTTAAATGAAATGTGAAGAGACTCTAAAACACTATGAACAAATCTAACAAAATGGAAATAATGGAGGGAGGATCTTTTTGAGTTTCAGTAGGTTTACTCTTTACCTAAAGAAGGATGAAACCATTTCAGGGTAACTCTGAAGCACATCATACAAAAAAAAAAAAAAATTTGCAGTTTTCTTTTTACCAAAGATCAATTTGATGACATTAGTGAAGCATGAGAATTCAGCCTGTGCTACGCGGCTTCTGAATTCTCAGGAGAAACTACAGAAGCAGGAATATAACTAATGAGACGTTTGCGTCAGATCAGAGCGGGGGCAGCAGCACCGGGAGGTAAGCCCCAGTGCGCCTGGTAAAATGAGAGGCCGCCTGCTTTTCGTCCAGCTGGCTGAGGCCTGGCCGTCTCAGGCAGGCTTCCAGTTCCGAACTTAGAGAATAGAGAAGAGAATGCTTAACATTTTGAGGAAAAAAAGAATTGCAAATGAACCATATTGTGCCTGCCTCTTCATTAAAATCTGAAATCAATGACTAGACATATTTCGATCTCAGAATAACAAGAATCTGAACTGGTTAATATCCATAATGCAACTGTTTATTTTATTTTGCTGTTTCGTCACAGGAGTAATTTTCTAAGTATAAAAAGACACTTACAGAGAAGACATTCCATCTTTTGACATTTTGTAGATGCCGAAAAGTGTCACACATACAAGTATCATTTTCTTGATCATTTCTCCAGAAGTTTACACAAGAACAGAGGAGAATGGACGCAGGGAATTGTTCCTCCTTGACTGAATTCATTTTCTTGGGAATTACGGATAACACTGAGGACAAAGTGATCCTATTTACAATGTTTCTCCTTGTTTATCTCATTACTCTTCTGGCAAATCTCGGAATGATAACCCTGATTCGGATGGACCCCCAGCTGCACACACCCATGTACTTCTTCCTCAGCCACCTCTCCTTCTGTGACCTCAGCATTTCCACAGCAGTTGGCCCCAAGATGCTGGTGGACATATTTGCTAAGAACAGATCAATTCCCTTCTCTGGCTGTGCCCTGCAATTACTGGTGCTCTATACCTTTATAGATTGTGAGTGTCTCCTGCTGGCAGTGATGGCCTATGACCGGTACAAGGCCGTCAGCAGCCCCTTGCTCTATGCGGTCAGCATGTCCAGCAGGCTGTGCTCCCTGCTCATGGCGGGGGTTTACCTGGTGAGTATAGCAGAGACTTTGATACACATGACATTAACCTTCCGCTTATGTTTCTGTGGGTCAAATGAGATTAATCACTTTTTTGTGATGTTGCTCCTCTCCTATTGCTATCTTGCTCAGATACGCAGGTCAATGAGTTACTGATATTTACTGCTTTTGGCTTCATTGAACTGAGTACAATTTCAGGAGTTCTTGTCTCTTATTGTTATATTATCCTATCAGTCTTGAAGATCCACTCTGCTAAAGGGGGAATCAAAGCTTTCTCTACCTGCATCTCTCACCTAACTTCTGTGGCAATTTTCCAGGGAACAATGCTCTTCATGTATTTCAGGTCAAGTTCTTCCTACTCTCTAGATGAAGACAAAATGATCTCTTTGTTTTACACCCTTGTGATTCCCATGATAAACCCTCTGATTTACAGCCTAAGGAATAAGGATGTGAAACAAACCCTGAAAAAATTGAAAAATAAGTGGTTTTAAAAATTAATATTTTGTGTATGTGCACACATACACATCCATACATATATGGTGATTGTTGATTTATTAAAATTAAATGGTAGGTTACATGAGAAACATAATTTCTATTTGAAGTATATTGCTATTTCCCCCACCTGTCATGCTTCTTTATATTTCCTGAATTTGTATATGGCATCAGTTTCTGGGAAAAACTTTTCTGACTTTTTCAATATATTAATTTTGTTCAGTTTTTATTCAAGCACTATTTAAATTACACTAAGGTATATAGTGCATTTTGTTAATTGATCGTTGAGCTTTTCAGTTCTTTATGTACTACAATACATCTTGTAGTTTAAATACAACTAAATATAAGCTAGTATTAATAATGTATTAACTAAATAGTCAAGTAATTCATAATAAGCCTGAAATTCATCATGAGATAACGCATAGTGGTCTATTATTCAAAAGTAAAAATATCTAAAACCAGTCTAAAGAAAAGGCATCTTTGGATATTCAGTCAAATCAGAAAAGGATTCAATTTGGGAGATGAAAAAATAGCAGGCAGAGGATCTGACAGTTACCCAGATCTTGAAGTGTACGAATCCATGCCTGTTAGAAGAAGTCATATTGGCTACGACATGGAAGAAGCATGAGGAGCATACGCTAAGTGAAATAATTCATACAGAGGGAGACAAGTACTGTGCGGGTCTCACAAACACGTCGAGTCCAACTGGTCAACCACACAGACTAGAGAATAGATTGGATGTTGCTACGGGCTGAACAGTGGGAGCAATGGGTGATGCTGATCAAAGTTTACAAACTTTCTGTTACTCAATGAATAAATTCTGGGGGTCTAATGTGCACTGTGACTCTAGTTAAAATTGTGTATTGTAAGACTGAAATTTGCTGAGAGAGAGTTCTTAAAGGTTTTCATGGTATGCACACTCAAAATGATAGCTATGTAAATTGATGAATGTGTTAACTAACTTTATTGTAGTAATTATTTCACAATGTACACATATATTAAATCTTCATGCCCTATATAATAAGCATGTTGTCAATTTGATCTGAATACAGTTTTAAAAAAAAGAGCAAAAGAAGTTAAGGGACAGTGGACAGAATCATAGTAAAGTACATAATTGTGCTTCATTATCAGCTGTAGATTCTTCTGTGACTCTCTGCACACCAATTTCCTTCCCATTTTCCTTACTCTTAGCTCTGGTTAAATACACCTCTTTGACTCTTTGTTGTTCACAAAAAACCACCTACTTAAAAGATTACTTTATATCACCCTGCTTATCAGAGTTCTTTGCTTTTGAGCATTGCATTATATAAACAAAGCACTACATGTTGTCTGGAAGATCAAATAAACAAATATATAGTAAACTAAAAATAGAAGACAACACATTTTTACTGCTAATTCTGTGTCAGTAGTGCAAAATTAAATGAGGGTTTGATAAGTAACTTACAAATGTATATCAGAATATAGTTAACATATTGAACACATATACACATGTTTGTTTGGAAGGTCCATAAAATGGCTTTGGACATGAAGATAATATACTATAAGTTCAGTTCAGTTCAGTCGCTCAGTCGTGTCAAACTCTTTGCAACCCAATGAATTGCAGCATGCCAGGCCTCCCTGTCCATCATCAACTCCCCGAGTTTACTCAAACTCATGTCCATCGAGTTGGTGATGCAATCCAGCCATCTCATCCTCTGCTGCCCCCTTCTCCTCCTGCCCCTAATCCCTCTCAGCATCAGGGTCTTTTCCAATGAGTCAACTCTTCACATGAGGTGGCCCAAGTGTTGGAGTTTCAGCTTCAACATCAGTCCTTCCAATGACTATTCACGACTGATTTCCTTTAGGGTGGACTGGTTGGAACTCCTTGCAGTCCAAGAGACTCTCAAGAGTCTTCTCCAATGCCACAGTTCAAAAGCATCCTTTCTTCACAGTCCAACTCTCACATCCATACATGACCACTGGAAAAACCATAGCCTTGACTAGATGGACCTTTGTTGGCAAATAAATGTCTCTGCTTTTTAATATGCTATCTAGGTTGGTCATAACTTTCCTTCCAAGGAGTAAACATCTTTTAATTTCATGGTTGCAATCACCATCTGCAGTGATTTTGGAGCCCCCCAAAATAAAATCTGACACTGTTTCCACTGTTTCCCCATCTATTCCCATGAGTGATAAGACATGCCTATTAATTTCACTAGAAAGAATAAGCTCTAAGTTCTTGCTAGTTGACTATTTCATCTGCTTTTGATCTGGTTCCTGAAGGCTAAAGCACTAAATTAGCTTGTTAAGAAAGCTAGGATGTGACCATGTATCTGAAAGAGACATATTATCCATTGCAATTATAAGATTAAAAGCCTCTGATGGTCTTCAATTTTCATGCTGCCATTGTAAAATGTTCTTATGTGACAATATTTCAGAATGGAAAAATAAAGCCTACATAATTCCTCTGTTGTTCAGGGTGGTATTTGTAAAGCACTATGCCATGTTAAGAAAAATTATCATAGTGAAAAAATTAGGATAATTCTTGCATAACATAAAAGACTTAAATATGTGTGCTCCTGGCATACTTTATCAATTCACTCAGACTTCTTTTGACTTGTTGCTTGTGAGCAGCAAAATGGCAGCAAATGTAGTCAGAAGTATAGTTAAAATAGGGTGTCAGTGGACTACCATTAATTCAGAGATTAATAAACATGGATTTAATTAAACCATCTTCATATATATGATCAGTTTTATGTCAGCATCTAAAGACTAATTCAACATGAATACTAGTCCATTTCATTGTATCTAGTGAGGAATATGTAAATAGAAGAAAATTTTAAGCCCATTAAATGGAATTCCAAAAATAGAACTGATTGATTCAGTGAATTGTAGGCTTCCTCTTCTCAAATTGAAGAAATTAATAAGAAATTATGGAAATTTTCTTTTTTTAGATAATTTCTAACTCTGATAGGAATTTGGGCAAAATGTTTCTTCTTTCTTGACAGTAATCTGTGAAAAAATGGGAACAATTTATCAAAAACTTTATTCTAACCTGTCAATTTCAGTATTCTTCATTCTTTACCATTTTAATGTTTTCACATCACATTATCCTCATACACGCACCAATGACTCATGGAAAATATCATTGTGCAAGTGCAATTTATCAATGACATATGTAATGTTTTAATATTACAGTCAAATTCCTATATCTTGCCCTGTTTCTTCATCCTTGCCACTGAAATACATTAGCATAAACATGGCAATCACCAACTCAATGGCATGAGTTTGAGCAAACTCTGGGAGTCGAGGATGGACAGGGAAGCCTGGCATGCTGCAGTCCATGGGGTCACAAAGAGTCAGACACGACTGAGAGGCTGAACTGAACCGAAACATGGCAAAGAAATGTTAGATTTGGTAAATGTCTAATGCAGAGGACAGACAGACTCATACTTGTACAAGTATACTCGTTACAAGTAGGAAAGCAGTAACGTTCAACACACCAGTAAGTAGGAGGATCTGGGTTAAAGCTAGGGGCAGAAATCTTTAACCACCCTGGATGTCTTTCTCTTTAGTTAGAACCATGCTATGAACCAGGCAGGAACACCACTCCAAATACCTCATTCCTGCTTTCTATCCCTCAGATCACCCTGTGTAGAAGAGGGATTTAAGCTACATTACCTCTAAGGCTCTTTTTAGGCGATATGATCTGCCTCTATAAACTATGGCTTTACTGTAGCATAAATCCATCTATATCAATGGAAAGAATATGAAAAAAAAGAAAAAAAAGTCACTTCACATTCGGTCAAAGAATTGGTCTGACCACATAGGCCAGGTATCTCAGTTGGTAAAGAATCCGCTTGCAGTGCAGGAGGCCCCAGTTCGATTCCCGGGTCGGGAAGATCCCCTGGAGAAGAGAGAGGCTACCCACTCCAGTAGTCTAGGGCTTCCCTTGTGTCTCAGCTGGTAAAGAACCTGCCTGCAATGCGGGAGACGTGGGTTTGATCACTGGGTTGAGCAGATTTCCTGGAGAAGGGAATGGCTACCCACTCCAGTATTCTGCCTGGATAATTCCATGGACTGTATGGTACATGGGGTTGCAAAGAGTTGGACATGACTGAGTGAGTTTCACTCACTCACTCAACCTGAATTGTCAGTTACATGAAGCCATGAAGACAGTGTGAGTTTTAGTAGGCCAAAAACTTTTAAAAACAGCTGTTTTACATGCCCTGTTATCCAATTTCAACATCTCATGGACTCCTTATGA